GCGGCCCAGTGCCCACCCCAACCTTCGTGCCAGAGCCAGTGAGGAGGAGGAGGAGAGGAAGGCGCGAGGCGGGGCGAGGCGAGAGCCAGGCCAAGCAGCAACAGAAAAGGGGGGCGCCGTCAGAGCGCCACCTCCTGCTGTTGCTGCCGCTGCTTCTGCCCCCGCCGCTGCTGCTGCTTCTGCTCCCGCTGCCACCACTTCTTCCCCCACCGCCGCTGCTGCTTCTACCTTCCAGTCCTGCCTCATCCAGCCGGGCCATTTGCAGGAGGAGAGGTAGGGGCAAGGCGGGCAAGCTTTCTTCCCCCCCCCGCCACCGCAAAATTTGGCCGGAAAATAAACCGTGATAAAAAAAACGTGATAAAAAATAAATAATTTTTAATAAATAATAAATAATAAAAACATCTCACTAACTTCATTTCCAAATAAATTTAATATGTTAACTATGTTTTCTATGGTTTTTTTGGATGATCAGGTATCGTTACTGTTATTTTATTTTATGTGCGGCCCAAACCAAATTTTCATCTTCTAATGTGGCCCAGGGAAGGTGAAAGGTTGGACACCCCTGCTTTAATTCCTTCCCTCAGTTCAGCCTGATCATCTCCTCCAGCAGCATTTATATATAGCTGGTCAGTCTGTAATCTTAAGACTACATCCTACAGAAAAAAAAAAGAACCTTTTAAGCCAAACTGGGTTCTTGATGTTTTAATAGTCATATTTTAAGGCACCAGGCTAAAAACCTGGAGAGTGTGAATTCTAATTCTGTCCTAGACATGAAAACTGGCTTGGTGACCTTGGGCTAATCACTCTTTCACCTCACGGGGTTGTTGTCAGGAAAAGAGAAGGAGGAGGAAGCATTAGATATGTTTGCCATTTTGAGTCACTTATAAAAATTATAAAAGGCAGTATATAAAATAATTAAATAAAGAAATACCTGGTTGAATTCTCAAATTGGCCAGTAACTCTATCCATTCAGCCTGATGGATTTCTAACCAGGTTAAACTCTGTTTAGCAGTTTGAGAACCAAGCTTCATTGCTGCAGCCTGGTTGAGTGTCTTATGCTGCTATTTCTTTAATAACAGTTCATTAATAACAAAGTTAATTGAAATTAATGTTATTATGTGATCTGTCATTTAATTCTGCGTTTCTTCTGCATGCAATCAGATTAAACTCCCATCTCTTGTAACCAGGATTTTGTATCTCAGAAAGGGGGTCCGCTAATAGGTTTGGGGTCTGCCCCTCCCGTTACTTGCTTCAGCTTTACTTTCCAGGCAGCCTCTAGCAAATTTTCATTTGGTTTTTCTTAAAAAGGGCCCATATAGATCAGTGTACAACAGCCTTCAAGAGAAAAGCTGTTGTCATACATTAATTTATGCAATGCCAGATTAAACTAAGAAATCTACAGAGATTTATCTTAGCATCTTGTGTCAAGGAAAGCATAAATGTTTGATTTGAGCATACCATGTTATGTGAACGTAATTATGCACTCTGAACCCATATTTAGGGTTACAAAATTTCCCAAGGATGTCATGCAAGATGTTGCATTTACCCAAAAGCACTGATTTTGCAAGATAAGGCCATTTTCAATTGTATTATCCAGTCGCTCAATTTAAAGGAGTTGCAAGTAGCATTTGGTGGTAATGATAGGCCACAAAATGCTTTCATAGGCACCACATTGCTAATCTTTAAATCCATCCTAATGCTCATTCTGGTATGTTTAGTTGTTTCAACTATCAATGCCTTCATCTCTGAAATAATATCCCCCTAACCATGAAGACTAGAAAATAAAAAAAAAAATGCAGAACCTTGGAATGTAGAGGGAGGTAACAGAATTAATCACAATTAATAAACAAAGTTCAATTTAGCACTTTGTCTCTATCACACAGCAAAAGGAAAGTGCAGTTATGATGAAAAACGTTTTTCTTTCTTCTTCCAAAGAAAAAGATTTTAGCTTTGCTGATTCAGAGCTAACAATATGCTGCTTCAGCAGATGTCAACAGCTAAATGTGCACCCTGGGATATGTCTGACTAATGTAGCAAAGGATTAATTCTGTTCCCAGTGTGCTGTTTAGATCATCTAAATATTTTAATGGAACAAATCCTCCATTCAATGGGAATGTGAGATGTGATCTAGTTCACTCATCTAAACTATAATTTGGTTTGTTTTTGGCTTATGCAAATCCATTCCTCTGGCTTTGTGTTATTTGAAAACTATCTTTTTGCTCAACATATCACAGCAGAACATGCCAATGTGGTTATTTGTGAATATCCATGGTAATACAATCATCACAAAAATTGTAGAGAAAATAGCTAGGATATTTCTACATGGCCTAGAATGAGAATGAATAGAAAGAATGTCCTGGGGAAATGGGGAAGGGGGATATGTGAATCTTTGATTTTTTAAAAAATGTTTTCCTTGGATGATGTTAGTTCTTTGACCTAGGACAGGATAAATGTCAGACATGAATAACTAGAAGCATTTGATGAGTTCAAAGCACAGAAAAGTTTATTATTGCTACTTCTATATAAGAATCTTGTAGTAATGCAATGACTCTAAACTGATGACATGTTTAACCCCACTTTCCAGCTCAGCCTGCTATTCTCCTACAGCAGAGGTTGGCAACTTGGCAACTTGGGGGACTTCAACTCCCAGAATTCCCCAGCCAGCATGTAAGGAAACAGAGGATTCATGGAATGTTACCCTATAATTGTAAGGTATACTAATAGAATCTTGAAAGCCAGTCCAAGAATATATCTGTCTTATATCAAACAAAATCCATGTCTAGCTGAGTTTCTTTCTTATCATTTTTTCATTCTCTGGGCTGTTCAGTCACCAAGTCCTCCTTAATCGTTTGCTCATTCCTTCAAAATTCCTTTACAGATTCCAAATATAAAACTATATCCCAGATATAAAACCAAGGCAACAGAAGCTAGATATAAAATGCTGAACAGTACAATTATTTATGCAACTCATAAACCACATTGCTGCGGTTACCAGAGAAAGCTTCATGCGAGATGCTTATGGATTGCAAATTTAATACTAATTTATCAGCAGACTACAGTATGACTTTATGAAAGGAAATTTTGGTAATGGCAGATCTCCAGATCCTGCAATTTTGAAAATAGCACTAGCACTTAGCAATAGCATTTACCACTTCATAGTGCTTTACAGCACTCTCTAAGCAGAATATAAAGTCAGCAGATTGCCCCCAATAATCCGGTCCCTCATTTTATCAACCTTGGAAGAATGGAAAGCTGATCAACCTTGAGCCAGTCAGCATCGAACTGCTGGCTGAGGATGGAGTTGACATGTAATACTGCATTCTAACTACTGCACCACTACAGTTCCTTGCCATTTGTCACGAAATCAATTCAAATATATTGCAAAGGTGCAAGTACATCCCAGAATATATCTTTCCTACTCCAGGTTGGCATTGTCTTTCTCCTCTTTGTAAAAGAATTTTCAAAATACATTCTCCAAATACTTCATTTCCACAAAACTTAGAACATTGATTTTGGTAGAAAACGTTACAAGGAAAAATGACGTAGAATTACCAAATTGCAAAAGTGATATAAATTAAAATCTGAATTTCTTTTGGCAGGAAAAGATGTTTGTGTGTAGATGAAGGGTGGTCAAACTGTGTGACTGGTAATACTGAACTAAAAATAAGTATGGTTCAAAACAAGAGGATTTGCTTTCCTAAAAATATAATTGTAATTATATTTAAACTGAATTGTATAGTCACATATTCACGCTTTCTATCTCTAGCCATGATGCACTGTGCCTTCTTAAATTGTTTCCACGAAGGAATCTCATTTACTGCCTACTTCCAAATAACTTTGTCTCTGATTTCAAAGATTAGATTGGAAATTGGGATATAACTCACTTCTCTGCTCTAAGTGAAAACAATGATTTTAAAAAATCATGGATAGAAGCAACAAAGGGAGATTGCAAGAGAACATGTTTCATGGCTGGCTGGGGAATTCTGGGAATTGAAGTCCACGCATCTTAAAAGTTCCCATAGTTGAGAAACATTGTTTTAGTCATTTGAATCAGGTATATTTACTGTCGTTTTTACTTATCACTTATCAAGGGAATGAGGAATTAAGTTTGCTTAGAGTGCTTGTTAATAGGAGTGATGTACAAGCCTCAGGAAGTAACTAAGGAACGGAAATTCTGACATGATCTGCACACTCAGTTCATATCATCTACAGGGCTCTTGCCTTCTCCCAGGTATTAATCGTGGCTACCCAGTCATCAAGAGGTGGTTCACTTCTATCTTTATGTTTCAGTTCTTAACCAACATTTTATCTCTGAACCAAACTAGAATTTGTCTCCCTTCCCAAGTGATTCATCAGTAGCATAGACTTGTAATGCTCCAATTTAGAGGATTTCCCCTATTGAACAACCTAAGGCACCCATTTTCAGATTCTAGACATGCTTTATGAGAGATTCTGACTCGTGCCATCAATGTGATTTTTAAAAGCTCAAAAAAAAAAAAAAAAGGTCATCGGTTACTCCTCTTCTTACAAGTTACAGAAAACATCCTTCTGTCAACCCATAAAACATTTCTATGCCTGTTTTAGGATTGCCACGAACAGAAGTGGAGAGGAAATTCGAAAGAGCACTGCAGCAGTTTGGAATCGAAAGCGCATTCCATTTTTATCTTGTAAAGATTGTAACTAAGCGACCAGAGTTTCTGCCTGGGCAAATCTCTAATCAGAGAATGTGATTGATGACTCTTGGCTATGAACATATTTTGTTGGAGAATATGAATTATGATGCACCCAAAGGGGTGGGGGAAACCAGGTGACAGTGAATTACGTGTCTCAGAATCAGCTTCAAACAGGTCGTGCTGATGTGTTCGTTCCTAATAAGTTCTTTATAGTTTTTGAAGCTTGGCTTGAGGCTCATGATTTAATTAGGGCAACTGCCGGAATCCTGACACCTTCAACACATTCAAATCAAACCCCCAAAGCAAAATAGGAAAGGATTAGCCAACCAGATTGTCGGCTCATTTATTAAGTGGGCTCAATGGAAGAGTGGAACATTAAGAGCAAAGTAACATTTAAAACCATTGCAAGAGAATCACAAACAAGCTCATTTGAACAGCACGGCTCCTGCCTCTGACTTGCGGCTGAACTCTAATTCATACCAAACAAGAAGGGGCTAAAATGTCTTTTTTTTTTTTCCATTCAAGGGGGTTGATCTTTCTCATCTGCATATACATTTCAGTATAAATACCGCAAACATACTGCAATAAATAATAGTACAACTTTAAGGATAGCATATGCCAAACCATCTAGTTATACCAATGCTTTCGCTATCTTGGTTATCTCCAGATTTTTCAGATGGAGAAAAAATGTCCTTGTGCCTTAGCCGGATTCATCCATCTCATCAAGAGGTTGTGTGTGGACTTCAATTTTCTTGGGAGGAATGTAGGACCCCATTCCTGCAGCCCTCTCAGCTTCCTCTTGGGTGTAGGGCTCCTCACTCAGCTGTTTCAATCTTTTAAAAAAACAGAAACAAATCCAAATGTTTGCAAATCCTGACATGCCAGTTGATGAAGGACACAAAACTTTAATGGAATCCCATCTTTGTTGCTACTGGCATACATTTCGATTATTTATTTGCTAGATAAATGTGACAGGTAGGCCATTCAGAAGAATGTGTTCAGGTTCAAGAAAACGGACCGAAAACAGTACTCCCTCCCCCGCCACCCAATTAAATAAAGTTAACATTACCTCTTTTTGTGAACTTTTGATCTGAAATGATCCTTCATACTTTTTAAGTCAATGAAATATCGCCTAAGAAGACAGAAGAAGAAACAAGCATGCTGTAAGCTGATGGAAACTTAGTTGGGTCTAGTGATTAAGCTGTTGGGCTACAGGCAAGGAAAGCTGAATTCTAATCTTTAGAAGTAAACAATACCTCATTCAAGGAACTGCCAAACAAACTAACACTAAACAGCCCAATCAAAGAACCTCCATCATTCCCACAAACACTAACAAGGCAACACATTAGAATATAAAATGAGATCAAACCCCACTCCCTACTAGCTCTGATGGTGTTACCTAGTTTGGATAATGGAATGTCTGTCAATATCCAAGATCAAAGAGCACTAAAGACTCACATGCGCGCGCACACACACATACAATTCTAGTCTTTCTTTAGTGTATGTCTTTGGCCAGTCACTATCTTTTAGCTATAGGAAGAAGCAAGGAGACATTTTTGAAAAACGCTGCTTAAAACCTGCATGGATTTGAGGTGGTTTGAAAGCAATGAATCAATCAATATACTAGGATATATTTTGCTCCAATGCAGTTACTAGCCTATTAGGCCAAAAATAACTACAAACCACTCCTTAATATTATTTCACTTTCTAAAATGTTCTCATCTTCTCAAGGACAGATTCTATTTACAGATAAAACAGGAAAAACTGCACTCTGCTTGTAATAGTTCCACTCCCTACCACTAACATCAAAATCTAACATCAAAGCTGCATCAACAAATGTCTTTAATAATATCTAACACTAGCCCATTTTCACCACTGATGTTTAAATCTTGGGTTTCAGATTCAAACTAACAAATCTAGGTTAGAAGGGAACCCAGATAACACTAAATGTAGTTAAGATTTGTGCCAGTAAACTGTTCAAATCAAGTTAGAGCTGTGGGCACTCAAAGAAGTCCACAAAATGGGAGGAGGGAGTATAATAGGTATGCATTACTTAATTATTTATAAAAATTAAGGAATAAAAATCTAAAAGAATTAATGGGAATAAAGTTTCCTCTGGGATGGGAAGGAGCTGTTTGAAAGCAGTGAAAGATGATGGCTGACTTGCCTCTAGCCTTTCTCAAATTTAGGCTCATTGGATTTGCTGATTAGCAGAAAAACCAAATTAATTTGCTGACTTACACCTTTGTACCTTAAGTGAGAACTTTGCTACAGGGCTATCATAAACTGCTCTCCATTCCATGCCCCTCCCTAAAATGGAAATAATGAGTTGTACAGAATTGTCAAATAAAGTTTTTAAAATAAACTTTGGCCTGCAGTTTAAGAAACTGCTTATCTTTTCTCACCACACCCCCACCCCCACAAACCTGAAAGGAAATGTAAGTTTCATCTTTGTCCCCTTTGTCTACAATTAGGGCTCCGGGTTTGGATTACCAAAATGTGTTTGGGATGGCAAAATAATGCAGAAATCTCTGGCCCTTTGTTACCACCTAGCATCTGTCTGGTTTTTTGTTTTTGTTTTGCATCTTAATTAGTTTATTTTTTAACCCCATAAAACAGGACTTCTTCAGTCCTTTCTTTGAAAAAGAAAAAAAACAGATTTTTCAGTTTTTCTATATACGTTCTGCAGCTAAAATCTTACATGTTGATAGGCAACCCTCATTTATGTTTAATGTAGCATTTTTCAAAATTGGCTACTTTCAGCCCAGAACTTTAACTCCAAGAATTCCCCCCCAAACAACATGCTAACTGGGGAATTTTGGGAGCTGAAGTGCACACATCTTACTATCGTCAAGATTGAGAAACATTAGTCTAACTCTAAGGATTTTCTATCCCACAACCGAGAGTTGGTCAGATCTAATTCTTATCTCTATATGCAAGGGGTATTCCACGGGGACCAATCCCTCCCCCCCCCCAAAACCGCCTTTCCCTCTTGACGCACGCGCAATGCAGGCAGTAATGCTGGGCATTGCCGGGCAGGTCGGGATCCAGCTCTTGGCGCAGAAGCTTCGTCGCGTTCTCAGGCAACATGTCGTGGTGGATCTGATCCAGATCTCGCCGCCGCCGCTTCGTTTTCCACTGGCGGGCCAAGGAATGCGTCTTATGCGAACCCGTTCGACGGGAACTCTTGGGAGCCATATTCCAACTCCGAACCTCGCCAGAGAGAGAAAGGAAGCTTCACGTCCGCTTCCGTTAGGTGCATGTGACGTCATCTCATGGCGCCACCCCCCTGAGCGTTTCCAAAGTGATTTGAATATGGATGAGATGAAGTTCCGTAGCCAATCGTGGTTATGAATAAAATAACCAATGGGAGCGCCAAGGAAACAAAACATCTATGAATATATTTATATATTTCTAGATATTTAATATATATCTCCAAGTTTCCACAATTCATCTGAATGTAATAGCTGGAAAAAATAAATGACATAAATTAACCAAGTATTTGCGAGACTGGGCAACTTTAAGATGTGTAAACTTTAACTCCTAGAATTGACCCCCATTCTGGCTTTGAAAAACACTGAATTATCCTAACATCAAATATTAATGGTGCAGTTCAGTTCAAAGCCTCATTTACAAAGATACAAAAGTTTGCAATTAAACCAAATTCAGGGGAAAGGAGTTATGTAACAAACAAGCAACATGACCTGAAATTCATTAAAGGACTTCAAATGAACCAAGCATAGTTGTTTGTTGGATTTATAGCATGTGCTGTATTTCTGCTACAGAATGACATTCAAAGTTGCTGGCATTTGCATAATAAATTTATTTAACATAGTGTTATAATTGGGAATATCGGTGTGATCCTAAACAAAAAAGTGCCACCTTGGCTTTAGTGACTGGTTTCCTTGGCAGAATCATGGCTTTGTATTGCCTTTTTCCAGGATATTTTAATATGAAGCCTCTTCTCCAGTGCTAGGGCAGGGGTCTCCAATCTTGGCAACTTTAAGACTCGTGGACTTCAACTCCCAGAATTCCTCAGCCAGCTTTGCTTGAAGTTGCCAAGGTTGGAGACCCCTGATCTAGAACATCCTAATAGATTGGAGGTTGGAGACCCCTGTGCTAGAGTATTTTCACAGTACAAGCATCTCCAATTTCCTCATAAAACCATTTGAAGCCCAGCCCACTTATAATCATTCACTTTTTAAGATTCAGAATGCATGATGTAGAAAATATCTTAGAGGTCATCTATTCCAATGTCTTGCTCAGGGCAGTAATTCAGTGACTAGACTAACCCCTGAGGTTCCATTGTTTTCAATAGAAAAAGACAAGGAAGAATATTCAATCAACGTCCTGTCCAGACATCCACCATCAAAAATTTCACCTCTATTCCATACAAAAAGATGTTTCGAATTTCTCACATTCATTTATCAATAGATATGTCTGTATGACTTTCAGAGTGTTTAGTGCATTTATTACATTTATATCCTTTTCACCTTTTGTTGTTTGTTTCAACAAAAATATTTTTAAATATACTAGATAGAATTTTTTTAGTTCCGCTCTGTTGCTGCTTGTTAAACTTCATGTTTCTTATGACAGCACATTTCTTGTTCTAACATTTCTGTTATTAGCAACTATGTATTGTATATGTATAATGCAATGCAGGCTTTTGTTGAAAAAAATAAAACTAATACAGCTTCAGCCTCTGTTTCCTGATCTGATCTGCAGGTCTGAATCTACCATTCTTTGACAAGAAAAGCCATCTTCCAGTGATTTTTCAATTCTATCCTTTCTTGGAATTCCACTTTAAACCTGTAAGAGGAACATAACTAGAATGTAATTCCATCCCATTAAGAAGCTGTGCTGTAGTTCACATCTTCTTAATGCTGAGTCACAAAAGGTGACCCTTTGACCTAAGGCACTGTTGTGGTTTTTGTGTGCGCGTGTTTTCCTGATGTCCGGCTAATCCTTTGGGAAGAAAATATATATCAGGATTCCTCATCAAAAGATTTTATAAGCAAAGAGCAATAACTCCTCTAGGCTAACCAACTTTCATTTGGGCTTATTGATCTACTTTTCTCTTGCTTTCAAAGTTGATCATAATATTCTGTTTCCTGTTCTATAATGTTAATACATACAAACATACATGAACACTGCCTTACATTACAGCAGGTGATACTTCTCTGGGAAAGGGTCTGTATGACAGAATCATGAAAGATGATCTAACTGCAAAATTATGAGTAGCATTTCCCTTTTGGATGGAATGATGAAAAGGTCTCTTGGGAGATTTCGGTTTTAATGACCTTGCATCTTCTTGATTCAAATCTGCAACAAAACCCCACTCATTTCCCCAAACCCAATTGATTCATTAATAATAAAATAGGTCATGTCTCCATGATATACAAAAGGATAAAACAAATTGTATGGAAAAATACATGGTTTTCCTTCTTAAGAACCTGTAAATTTTGGATATTTAAATAATCCAAACATTATAAATAATATTATTAGATCAGTTACAAGGTGCAAACAGTGGGGTATAATGCATCAACTCAAGATGTGAAATTTGACCCCACAAGCTCTTTGGGTGAGTGAACTTAAAAATTATTTATGAATAGATTTGCATGAACACTCAAATCTAGCGGTGTTTTGTGCCCTACTTTTCCATCAAGTCAATGGCTTGCCATGGATTAACTAGCCTGATTATTTATCCCTATGGGGGATAAATGCACTTGTGTGCATCAGAGGTGGTATTCAGCAGGTTCTGACCAGTTCTGGAGAACCAGTAGTAGAAATTTTGTGTAGTTCAGAGAACCAGCAAATACCACCTCTGACTGGAGATTTTACAGTATCCTTCCCCTGCCATGCCCACCAAACCACACCCACAGAACCCATAGTAAAAAAAAAAAAATTGAATCCCACCACTGGTGTCCATACATGCATTTTGGTCTCCAGTGGTTTAGATATGTGTGGCAGTATGTAACAAAGGGGTAGGACTTAGGATTTAGGGGGAGTTTGGGAGAGAGGATAGTTTGAGAAGGAAGCCTTTCTTTCTCACATATCAGTTCGTTAGAAAAATACTTATTTTATCTCCTCTCCCGATCTCTAAACAAGCATCAGAATTTTTTAATGCCATCATTTCCAGTGTTCCGGATGTCCTTTGAGCCACAGTCACCCTCATTAAATGACATGATAAATTGATCCCAAGTTTTAAGTTTGGACAAAATTCACTTTACAATTCTTGGCTCTAAACACACTTCCAAATAGACTTCAGCTTTGTGAGAAACCCATGTTTGGGATGTAGAATGGCTATGTGAAGTTTAGCACAAATGAATCTGTGGCATTAGCATATGGTTGTCATCACAAGACAAAGGAATAGCCAGTTCATTAACAATTCGTTATCATGTTGCTGCACCAGGTTGAGAAATAGTAAGACATTTACTGATATGGAAAGGCAGTGGACAGGCATCTGTCATTAGCTAAGGGGAGAAGGGCCCCAGCGGAAGCAAGTTGAGTGAGGAAAGTAGAACATCTCCCTTCAACAGTTAGGGCATAATCTGGACAGTAGCAATCCAGCTTCCTTGCAGGTTTTAAGATACCATTTGGACATTTGGCAGTGTGGGGAGGAGAGATTGGCATTCTGCCTAAAAGCAGAAACTAAATCCAGGAAGGAGAAGATGCTGGTCTGCAAGGCTATCAGCCCTACAAAATAATTTATCTGTCAGCGGCTATTTTAAGCCTGCTGCCTAGCTCCTACATTCCAAAGCCCGTTCTTGCAGGAGATCAGTTACAGGCTGCAGACAATGGGGTGTAATGCAGCAGCTTAGGAACACTTTCCTTGACAATTTCCTTGTGATGCCGAAGTGGGAGAAACAGCCTGCTTGGGATTAGAGAACTTCTGAAGCCAAGTGGCACATTCTGAAGATGATGGGGCTTTCTACACACACACACAAATGTGTTTGCCCATAAAGAAAAGTTTAATGGACATGGGTAGCCTAGAAGGATTAGCTTTCTGTGTGTGAGATGAAGAAGACAGCCAATTTTTTTTGCAGAACTTATCTGGGGGTGGGTGCCTGTTTTTTCCAAGAGCTGTCATCCATTATTATTCTGGGTCAGCCATGTATCTGATTCTACTTTGTTCTTTGAGATGAATGCCGTAGGCTTCTGAATTGTTAATGAAGACACCAGATCTAAGGAGGCGTCGGCTAGAAACAGGTGTGAAGTAGCAGGACACATTAGTTTCTTGCAGAGCTACTAATATCCTGCAGAGCGTCCAAAGCAGCTGAGTGCCATGGCACAATGGCCACTGGAACTTAACTTGTTTAGCGCTCAACGCAGAAACTGAAGAAAGAACTGTAAAGCTTGAAGCTTCTCTAGCATCTGAAGAAACCGAGACCCCAAAAGCTGAACTGGCTGTTGCAACAATGACTCAGGGATTCTGGAGAGTCTACAAGACAAAAGTAATGCAAGCCCTTGGTGGAGAACTCCAGGAAGAAGATCTCCAAGATGAGGTAGAGCAATCCATAATCAGGCCTCTTCTTTTTCCTTGGTCATTGAACATGGACTTTATTAGCTTTCCCATCCATTCCAGATGGATGGACCTTCATTCCAAATATTTTCCTGCTGGCAAAGCCATTGACAAAAATGCTGGGGGTTAAAGGGCACACATCTGGAAGGCAGAGAAGAACCCAGATCATAAGTTTAGAATAGGATAGGATAGGATAGGACAGGACAGGACAGGACAGGACAGAATAACAGTTGGAAGAGACCTTGGAGGTCTTCTAGTCCAACCCCTGCTTAGGCAGGAAACCCTACAGCATTTCAGACAATACATTCTACTTTCTATTTTTTATGAGAACTAATTCTTTAGTCCAGAATGGAAACAGTCAGTGAGATACAAGTGACTTTAAATAATTTACTTGCATTCTAACACTTGCGTTTTTTTTAAACAAATAAATAAGGGGCAGAAGGTATGCTGTAAAGCAATATCACTTCTGGCATCATCTTTACATTCAAAAATGCCTTGAGGTGGACCGCATATACAGTAGGTCTCGTCTTGAAAGAGAACAACAATGGGAGGTTGTTACCCAACTGATTCTTTCAAAATGAGACTTTTTCTGTTTGATCAGGAAAAAAACCTGTAATGATAAGCTGAGATGGTTGAGATAAGCTGGGACAGGACACTAAAGGAAGTGGTAAAAAACAAATAACCAATCTGATCGCTGATCAAGTGGTTATTTCTGGCTACAGGTAG